GTTCTCTCTAGCCTGCTTCAGTTTAGGCCCCCGGACTGTATCATAACCCACACACAAGTCAAGTGAGTTGTGTGGCGCATATGTATTCGGTGCCCCTTTGTACCAACATTTATGTGTTCCCTCTATTATATATTATCAACATTTAAGGTATTCTAAGGTTTGGGCTGAAATTACCAAAAATCTGTACGGTGTTTCATTCTGTTCATCAACTGTTCTTCAGTAATACCTAAATAAGTACTTTTAAATCCTGATGTGGTGAGACCATAAATTATCAACGACTTTGAACGACGCTAAATTGACCTTGAAAGTATCTATCTACTTACTAGTGTTAAATGAGGACTATAAACCAGTGTGAAGAATTAGGATTATGTTTTTTAGTCGGTGGTCAGGGTTAGGATTTAGATTTAGGGTTTTCATCACGATCATCAGCTATAATGCCAAAACGCTATTTGGCCAAATGAATGAATGGATTTCGCGCCAAAATCCAAAACATATTATCGTAAATCTGAATGGCTCCTCCATAAATTATAGTCTCGCCAAACTGTTGTTGATGTAGTTATTTTAATATACAACTTAATATAATAAACCTGTATATTGTTCTTCTCAATTTTGATCATATATGCTTTCAGTAGTATATAATGAAAAATTATCATTATTTTATTGTGTTTATTTATTTTCTATTATCAAGATCGTTTATTATGTGTGATACGTACTCCATCTCGTACTACTCATGTTCAACAAATGATCAACACTTTTAAATCGTCTGGAATTAATTCTAAAGAGAATGATAAACAAAACAATAATACTAAAATAGACTTCGTTTACTCAAATGATGAATTGGCTGGTTATTTTTCTGATAATATTGATAAAGATTATAAATTTAATAAGATTTTAGTCAATGTTCCTTGTTCAGCTGATCGTTACGCAATCACATCTGGTGCTACACATGTTTTTGAAATGGGACAAGCTCATTTACGTGCTCATTTACCGAAAATTCAGTTAAATCTTCTCCGGTGAGTTTTAGTAGAACCTTTCTAAACTGTATATGATATTAAATAAAATCCGATTGTATGGTGCACTCAAGTAAACATTACTTACGCGATCAGATTGTTGGTTCGCTGCCCCCTCTCCTCTTGATTAACTGAAAGGAGTCAACCCAAAAGTCGTCATTAGCACAGAACTTCCTGGCATTGATGGGCGTTGGCCCAAGTTGTCATACTACATTACCATTACGATATGAATGTAATTAGGTGAATCACAATGAGAAAAACTGAATTTTTGGAATATAGTCCAAGAAGATACAGTGAAAAAACAAAGTATTTATCGAAAAAACATTGGGATTCAAAATTGATAAAATGATAGAAAGTTGATGGTTGAAGGTAGTAGACAAGAAATCTTGAACCTAGTTTTCGTGTTATCTGGCACTTGTTAACAAGATGTGTACCTGTCATTTTGATGGAACTCATGTTCTCTGGTGGAATCAATCTCATATAATCCAATTTTATTTAAATATATAATTACTACTGTGATTAATTGCATAGTGTACATTTAACGCTTTTTGTTCCTCATATTATTACATCCTATTCTTCTGTAGTCAAGCAATGGAATTATGTCAACCTAACGGTTATGTTGTCTATTCAACATCAACATTATCACCAGGTCAAAATCAAGAAATTATTCAATCATTTATACTGAATCATTCAAAGAATATTAATTTCACATTGATCAATTTAAAACCATTGTATGATTTATTAACTGTTTGTTATTCTAAATTAGGTCTAAAAATTATTCCGATTCATTTACCTTTATTTGATAATATGAATGAAAATAATCATAATACAAATCTATCTTCAAATAATACTTGTCATGGTTTATTAATTATTCCATCGATATCGTGTAACTATGGTCCAACTTTTATTGTTAAATTTAAACGCCTTCCTTAATTGATTTTTTTCAATTAGATAACTTTGTTACTATGTAAATCTGTTTATGATATTTATAAATATATATTTTAGTAATATTATTATTTTTTTAATCTTATGACTAATGTTATTTTATACATTTCTGATCATTCAACTATTTGTAATGGAATGTTAACATTACTAAATTTAATTGTGTAACTATCAAAAATTAGGAAGCATTGGACAGTTTTTTCATCCTATTATATAACTCTTCTAGATGGTGGTTGGAGATTTCCTGTTGACTACCTCCAACCACCATCTAAATCTCAATACATAGTGCCCGCAGTGTCGAGTCACCTAGACTGGTGGCCACATTGCAACATGATCGATAGCATTCGATCAGCACTAATAAGGACTAGACAAGCATGACATTGATCACCACCCAGTGATCAATCAATTGTGATATAACTCTTCAACCGTTCCCATCTATAATTCAACAGGGAATCGAATATAGATTCTTAGGTTTCGTAGCTAGTGTTTAACATTTAGACCACTAAGTCGTTACTCAATATTATATATTTATATATCAATTAGTGAGATTGCTTGACCATCTTACGCTGTTATTGAGAGGTAGCTGTCTCATAACTGACTTAGTTAAGCTGCACTAGTCATAGCTTCTCACTGCAAATCCAGGGAAACTGGTTTTCATTAATGATCTATATTATTATTTGAAGAATTATAAGACATACTAGATGAAGATATCTTTTTAGTCCGGAATTCATCAGTGTCTCACACACACATACACATGACCGTTCAGGATTAAACCAAGAACATGGTGATCATCACGAATTGACTGAAGTTAGTAAATATTGGTCAATAAATATCGAATGTTTAGGTGAATGATACAGTATTGATTATTTGACTTTGAAGATCTTGTACTTGATGTTGCGCATATATGAAAAATTGCATTAGGTATAGCAAATTGAAATCATTTCTCTAATGAAACATTCGTGTATATTATCTAACACATGAGCGTAATTTAAATACATATATTTAACCTGGTTCGAACTCATATATACTTTATTGTGATGTGTTTCTGAATGCTATTGGTATTAATCGTTCAAACTTCGGACGAAAGAGTTACCTATGAGCCTAGAACTTGTTTGACAGCTTGGTGTCTAGCATCATCATCCTCAGAAATAGTTACGTAATAATATGTTCAAAGAGTAATCTACTTTAGCCGCAACAATTTTATAACGATAAACTGCTGGTAGCTGGTGAAATATCAGCATAGAATACTGAAGTCTCATTTAACTTTCACCAGCTTACGGTGTTCGTAATTCGAATGAAATATCCACTTATATATCAAAGAACAAGTACATTGGGGACTACTGTATCGTGTATTACCTTATGGCTGGAAAACGTGGGGTAGGGAAGTAGAATCTATGAGTAGGCTTCTATTGTTTGATCATGTATATCTTCAAAGCGTTGCTCGTGTATGGTAGAATCATTGAGTGAGTAATGCTAATGTTAAGCGTAAGGGTTTAAGTAGAAATGCTAAGTTGATTAATCAAGTTGTAAACCTTCATTGTACACGTTACACAAGCTCAGTCACTCTACCTGAATATACTTTTTATCTAGAGCATGAACAAGACAAAATGAAGCTAGGGTATGTAAAATAGAAATAGCACCAGTCCATTATGCTTTTGATCACAAGTCTGATCCGTTTGGTAAGGTGTAGACATCCAGGTTGAAATCTATTCAATGATCATAATCTATAGTTGATTGAGAAATCCCAAAATTAATCGCGGTGTTGTACTTGCAATCACAGAGTCCCTCTATAAATGTTAAGCTTATTGCTATTTTATTTGATTGTTTCGAACTTTGTTTCAGTACTTGGTATAATATTTTCAGTCATTTGCTTCTAATTTTGTTAGTTTCCTCTTTTTTGTGGTAATGTGATATGTGCCAAATTTAATGGATGAACCCATCCCAGTTAGATCCCACATTGTGGATAATTAACTGTCAGATTACTAATATATAAATGTACGGTGAATAATTTCAAAGTTTGAGTCACCAATGCTGTATATCTCACCCTTTAGATATGAAAACCATGCCTTCTCCACCGCGCGTCATCTCACTTCACTCTTCTCTTTGCTCGTTTATTTGGATCAACGATTGTGTAAAATATACATATTCGAAATTCCTTCTCGTATTTGATTTTTTAATTCCGTTATTCACTAATGTGATTTAAATCGATGATTGGCGATATGTTTATTTCAATAACATTCATACGATCCAATCGGACTCGGATATCGGGCCACAAAATAGTCACGTAGATTGCGCATTTGGACTGACGACCGACAGTGTGAATCAGAGTCGAAACCAGTATCTCCTTGTTCCTTCTAATCTATCATCTCTTAGTGTGTTTATAGCGATCGTTCGACACCTAGGGAAATGTGTAACTGTCGACGATATGAAATCTATCGAGAACCTGTACTCATATTAATAAATTAAAAATTTTTAGAATGAACAATATAACTGATTAAAATATCCTCATTTTGAATGTCGTGTATACCTATTCCAACTTGTCACACGTTTACACTATTTCACACAATATAATCATACTGATCAAACTAATGCCATATGGTAATTCAAATTTGACATATTTACGTAATCACTTTATAATATCGAAACTAGAAATTAAAATGTTCACAAATAAAATTTGTGTAACCCATTAAACATTTACGATCTTGCATGCGGGATTCGAACCCAGGACTTTCGGGATCGTGGATGCACACTGCTCAGAAGTCCCATACTAGAACAAGACAGCCGTCTAATTCTTTCAGGTTTTCAATGGTGATTTATCTTAATTCGACTATTAAATTACCATCATCTCCTTAAACTTCCATTCTGATAATAACCTATTAAGCTCTTATAGACTGAGTAAAGTCGATGTTTTTTCCTGAATACTTCTAATCATTTAATGAAGAAGGGAACACTAACATAAATCACTAATATAATTCATTTCGAAAAAAATCACATTAAATTACAATTATTCACCAAGTATATTTTATTATATACATTTAAATGTTAATATTAATTTGTAAATTGTATAGGACAATTGAATTCTTTCGATGTAAATAATTTGAATGTATACTGATTTGATGTAATGAATTTCATAAAATTATGCCGAATTTGTTCAATAAGATTGAGTACTTTCGAAGATTCATTCTTTCAATGATAATAATAAATCAGAATGGTAATAGAATGGTTTGTTTTAAAAGAGGAGATAGTTTTAAATACAAATAAACATAGAAAAAAAAACTATATAGACCGCCATGTGTATTTCAATTCGATTTTCGCACAAAATTCTAAATACAATGAAAAAATTTCAATAGTTGTAATCATGAGTCAATCGAAGCTAGACCACCATAGAATACCTGGAAGCACTGGACAGCGGTTTCGTCCTATTGTGGGACTCCTCAGCAGTGCACATCCACGATCCCGACACGCGAGATTCGGACCCAAGACCTGTCAGTCTCGCGCGCGAGCGCTTAACCATTAAACCACTAAGCTGGCCAGTATCCAACGGTGTTAATGTCTAACTTCAACCGATTCACGAAATTGCGCCACCGTATACCATTATCTTCAGTGAGCCGTCCAGTGCTTGCAGGTTTTCCATGGTGGTCTAGTTTCAATTGACTCATGACTTCAACAACTGAAATTTCTAAAAATCTCCACAAAACCCCTTCTGACAATGAAGAATACTATTTATCTTACTAACTAAAGATTATTGTTATTTTAGTTCGGGAATTGATAAAATTGTATTTTGTACAATTACACATAATAAATATGAAATGATATGTAAACTAGATTAGGGAAAATACCTGCTTACGATTGTATTTGAGTTTACCTAATGTGAACTACGATAGAATCAATGATGTTTTGTGGATAAAATGTATTCTCCCACTTTAATTAGGTTTTATGATCGTAACATCTAACTCTATAATCTTTTGCTTATTAGAAACAGTAAATCAGTATTAATCATATCAAAACTATTTAACCAACATATATTTGTCATTATAACTAGAGGTGTTTGGTGACTAGCAGTGGAATTTAAGACATTCGTTTCATTCTGTTTAGGACTTGTTATTTAGTTCTGGAGTGAACATCAACTTTGAGATGCAGGTTGATCCAGTTAACGATTTCCAGAGGGGAAGAGACGAACTTCCTGAATTTCACTGCCAGCCATCATCCATTTTTGCTTACAATGCTTGTTACATAAGGTGATATAGAAGCTATTCGCACGTTATACACATATGCCAACAAGAGACTGATCAATTGCAGTCCTAAATAATAATAAGATTCAAGTAAACAATAACAAGTGGGTTTAAACTTCACCCCATTGCACAAGCAGGTGGCTGTCAGGGCCCAATAGCTAAGTGGATAACGCGATGGAGTTTTAAGCGAACGGTACTGGGTTCGAGTGCCAGAGTGAACATCAACTCAGGTACAGGCACGTCCAGCTGACGAGTCCCAAATAGAACGAAACGCGCGTCCTGCATTCCACTGTTAGTCACTATCTATCTTTGTATATAGTGCTCGTGGATTGAGGCTATATCGAGTAAATATGCATAGACTGATCAAATTGCAGTCCTAAATAACAATGGGAAGATACAAGCAAACAACACCAAGTGAATTTATATCTATTGCTAGGTTGAACAATAATACTAACCAACATAGTATGGAGTATATTCCAGTCTTCTGCAATAAAATAAAATTATCTTACCTCAAACTGTTGTGAACTCATAATACAGGGGAATTCAATATCCTGTAACCATAGAAGAGGATAAATTACTCTTCTAAAATGATCTGAATATAATTTCTTCAAATATTCAGAATCTTTCTGTGAAATAATAAATAAAAGATAAAAAGTGATGCCTTTTCATAACGTTCTAGGGTTTATTTTGATTCTTTTCATCGTAAATAGTATTCGAAACGTGATTTACTTGTATGAAAATGATGAAATATTTCTAGGATTGATTCAACAGTCAAAATGTATTCAGAAAGCCTTAAAGTGTTAAAGAATATGTGAGTTATAAATAATTATGGATTACTCATATCAGTATAAATGTTGTACATCTTGAGGTTTAACTAGAAAAGTAGCTTAATTCTCTTTCTAATTTCAGTTGATTAAAATAAATAGTTCCAAATATGTAATGCTACAATCAATTTCTCAGATGACCAACATGGAAGTGGTATATAAACAACTGGATTTAAATAGGAAGATATACTTTGAAAACATGTGAAAGTAATATACTAGGGAAACCAAATAGATAAAATTCCCATTCATGATAATGCAAAAGGTGAAAAATAAGTGTTTTCAGGTTTCTTGAGTTTCTATTAGTGAGGGAATTTAAAACTATCCTAGAGTTGTAAACTGAACTACTCCGTTCTCAGTAATAAAGCTTACTGAGTAAAATTGGTCTTTTCTTTTTGTATATTTTGGTTGATCTGGTGTAGAATAGTGCATCAGTAAGTGAATAAAACTGGAGAATATGACAAAAACACCAGATTTCCATTAATTTTCAGAAACTGTTTTACCTTACTATTGCCTGGAATTTCTTTCAGACGATCTTGCCACGAAACCTATCAAATAAAATCAAGGAGAATAGAGAACAGATAAATATTTTATTTGATTTTAATAAAATATATGAGTATGAGACAGAGAGAAGCTTGACGTTCAGTTAATGAATTCATCAACACTAAAGAATAAAAGGTTGAGTTCATATCTACTTAGAAAAACACTTACAAAAATTTATGACTTCATAGATTGACGTCATGCAGTCTCGAAACAAATAGGACTTTCTTTATGGAGATTCTCGATTGCCTGAAAGATTATATCCATCTTGTCTCATCAAGGTTATATGAAACTGATGGAATTTTGATTCAATACGAAAATGTCTCTTTAACGTTTAGTAATGATTGTCGGTGTGTCTGCTGAAAAGTAGTCCAACCATTACGTTCAATCATCCTGTCTACTAAAATAGTGTTAGCCTGACAGCGTTAGCTTGACAGAAATGAAAAGGTGATATCGGCATGAGATGTAGACGATTGAAAGTGAAATAGTGATGAAAATGAAGAGCCTTAGTTCTGTGGATTCCATGAGGTATTCATAACAATAAAAGAAGAGACATTGGTATAAAAGCAATAAGGTATTCATTCGTATAAACAAAAACTTTAGATAGGACCTCAATGCTAAACCTACAGGAATTCAACCCAAATAAAACTTCAATTGGTTCGTTAAAAAATCCTGGAGATGGTGGGTAAATTTATCAAAAAATAAAAATTTTCTACAATATTGAAGGTTAAAACATTTTAAAAACTTGTCTTCTGACAACTAAACATCATTTCGTATCAACTACGCTAACATAATAATAAATTAGTTTAACACTTACACGTAGACATTCAATAAGTAGTGGACAATCTGCAACAATAGGAAATAATGCAACTTCTGGTTGAACATAACGTAAAATTAATTGATCTTTATCATCGGTTCTTCCAAAACCAGGGAATATATTAGCTAAGAAATCACGATGATAACTGAGAAATGGTGCATAACCAACAAGACCAATTAGAATGTCAGGTAAAGAGCTGAAAATCCATTTATTGAAGAATTATATTAGATTTCTAACAAAAATACGAGCCTTATGTACGCTTTATCAGTTTAGAATTACAATGTAAAAAATGATGGAATATTTAGTTTTGATTGACCTTACAATAAAGCAAATTATGTAATTGTTGAGGACGTTAGATCCACAGAACTCAATAAGAAAAGGTAATAATTTTGTAATCTTATTCTGAGAATTTGAATTTTATGTTTTCGCGCCAAGAGACGCTTAGTTGACCCACAGCTTACATTTCCCACTCGGATATCATTGACTGTCATTAGTTGACGGATTTTTTAATACGCTATTTTGTGGCTCTCCCAAGGGCGTTTCTGTCATGGTATAAATAAGCTTGATTTGTGTGCTTAGTGACCTCGTATTTTCTGGGTGTTTGTAGAATACATTCTCTGAGCCTCATCAAGACATCTTCATCTAGTTATCACGGCCGGGGACAACAGATTAGAATAGCTTATCGTGTCACTGTGTCTTTGACCTTCGTTCTGTTTACCGAGTAAGGTGAACTCGTAATAGCATTCAAGCATATTAGTAATAGGATTACGTAGAACATGTAACGTTCTGATAGAAAATCTATGACGAAAATACTTTTAATTAATTAGCCAAAATCTTAAATTTTAATTTAAGCAATTTCTGTCAGTTGGTATTTGATAATGAATCAACTAGATTATGTATATCCATATTCCCCTTATTATAAGCTTCATTTTGACCTATAGATTATAATTGTACGATTTACTGTTCTTAAGTTATACCCAGCTTATTTATTACCGTCTCCCACGTACACAACCGCTTTTTGGCTTGATTTTGCATAAATGTTATTTTCTATTTTATGGTGTGATGCGATCTGTTTGGCTGGTATATAAACTAAGTATGTTTGAAATAAATGATTCTCATAGTGGAGGCTGTTATTTGGTGTTCTTGACTCAACTGGATGGTCCAGGTGAGCAAAGGACGCTAGGCTGCTCATACCGATCGGACGTCATTGGTTTAGCACAATACTAAAATTGAATAAGTCATATTTCGATTGGTAATAAAAAGCCGGCCTTAAAGTCACAACATTTTTGTAAACTATCAGTTAACATTCATTTGGTATTGTTTACGTATATCTTCCCAATTATTGTTTAGGACTGCAACTGATCAGTCTCTTGTTGACATATATGCATCTTGCGCCGACTGCCTCGATACACTATCCAAACAATCGTTAACATTCTTTACATATAAATTTCATGATAAAAGAGAATGTTGTTACTAAGACAGTGATAAGAACAGATAAAATATCCCTTATGATAATAATAATAATAATATACTAGAAATTTACTAAACGAATTGTACCATGTTTAACACAATTAATTACTTTAATTTATCTTGTTGTTCTTTATTCGGTTGACTAAATCGAATTGTTACTTGAGTTGTTTATCAAAAAGTAAATTTTGCATACGACTCTTTAAACTCACTGAAAAAAATAAAACATGGTTAGGATATGTATCAGTGAATTATGTAGAGAATTGAGTTTTCAGTCATTAACTTGTTTACAATATTAAACATATGGTACTTTTCTGTTCATTTAGTAAGTTAGTGAGTGTCGACTGTATAGTGAATGAAGAACTCATGTAGGGGAAACCAATTTATTGTTTTCATAAAATAGGATAAGCATACATTGAATACACTATTTGCATATTTTCTAACAGTTGTCTTTTTATATGCCTCATGATTCCTTGAATTTTGTTGTTATTAACTTTGCACTCTGTTTGCATTCCTGTTCTTTTTAATTCAGTCTTCTGCTGGCAGGCATTCCAATTCTGATAAGTGTTAAACACTACTTATATCTGTTAACATAAATAGTATACACCACATGTGTATGGGTATACTTTGCATTTGGCAATTTCATTTCAACCTCTGACTTTCATACTATTTGCTTTTTTTCACTCAATAAGTTGACATGAGTTACAGTGGTATGTTCGTAGAGAACATATCGACATAACTTCAAATGATTGCAATGAAACCCTCGATAAAAACTATATTATATATTCATATATCAAATAAATATAAAAACACTCGAAGATATTGTTTGTTAAATCCGATCGTCATTAAGCTTTACTTTAATATACAAGATGTATGACAGTGGTCAATCGTTAGATAAAACCAATCACATCTATTGGTCCATTGTATAATTTCGTTGTTTCTCAATAGTTTTTGAGCTTGTCTCTTACATGTAACATAAGCTAAAGAATCAGAGTCTGTAATCCTAGTCTATGTGTTCAGAAAGAATTCATGACACTTTTATCCCTTCATTGACCGTATGTAACTTCATAAATGACTTTTTCTTACATCTTATACTTGTTTGTCGTTCTTCAGCTTCTATCCTTCATATTCTTCACCATCTCGTTATTTACACACTTTTTACTACATAAATTAAATAACTTTTGGTAATCATTATTTCAATGTCTTTTTTATTTTAAATTTTGACCTACTTTCCATGTTGAATTATTGACTAGGACTTTTATTATTATTATCACTACTAATACACTTGTCTTATCACCATCAATTTGTACTTTCCATCCACTATGCATAGTTATGCAATCTAGTTCATTGTGGTCACTGACTAACTAATTATCTTGACTAGTTTAGTATTTTCATGTATCCATACAAATATTCCTGTATATCAGAGTAATGGAGATAGACATGAGAAAAATAAAAAAGAATTGGATGGAACTAGAAAAGAAGGCCCAGGACAGAGTGGATTGGAGAATGCTGGTCGGCGGCCTATGCTCCATTGGGAGTAACAGGCGTAAGTAAGTAAGTAATATTAGAGTAAAGCCTGATGAAGTTCGAATTCAAAAAACAATACCGTTTTTTTGTATATGTTGTTCTAATTTTCGCAGTAGGTATCTTTATTTATATAATAGATTATTGAAATCATGGACTAATCTAATTTACATAACCACTAAAAACCTAGAAGTACTGGACAACCGTTTCATCCCACTATGGGACTTCTCAGAAGTGCGCACCCGAGACCTCGTACACGAGAATCAAACCTCTTAAAAATCAAAATGGTACGGGATGTTACAGGTATTTAAAAATTTAAATTATTACCTGTTATATTCCTAATCTTCATTAAATGAGGAGAAGATTTTGATTATGTTTATTTCTGATTCACTTCAGATTTCAAAGTGTAACTAACTATGGATACCAGTGTTGATTATAAATCAGTATTATAATTATATGACCTCTTAGTAACTGAATTCAGCCTCATTTCATTCGTCTAAGTGTAAACAATCAAGTAGACCTTATGGTTCTCTACAATTACATTTAGCTCTAACATTTATTTAATCATGATTTTGATTATTTGATTGACTATTTTCTTTTACGGTGTTTTGTATGTACAAATGTGATAATTGTAGTCTTTTGAACAAGAATTTATGTGAATAGTAATATCAAGTCAACTTAATTAGTCAAGTCATAAGACGTGAGTAACTGAGACAAGTGGAAGTAACCGCATCTTATGTAAAAAAGATACAAAAGACATTTTATGCTCGTGCAATATCGCAGACTGATTAAAGTTAGACATTAACACCGTTGCATGCTGACTCAATGGTCTAAAGTTTAATCTTTCGCGCAAGAGACCGGAGATCTTGGGTTCGATTACCGTTTGAGAGATGATGGATGCGTAATGTTGAGGATTCTCATGTTGGGGTGAAATGGACGTCCAGTACTTTTAGGTTTCAAGCGATTGTGTAAATTAGATTGGTCCATGGTTTTAACGAAATTTTTAAGATTACTCAATGGTTCCATTCATGCTCATTACCTATTGTGTTAAAAAAAGACATCCGAAGTCTATTAGTATTATTGTTCTTATTACTTAGCATGAACACACGTAGGATCAGCATTATTATCATTTGTATTTGGTGACTTTAACTTACAATACTTACCATCTTTAACTGATGTCTTATTCCCCTTTCCATTTTCAAAAGGTAAACTATCCTGCAATTGGTAGTCACAAGTTCTAAAGTTAAAAAGTATCAATTTCATTTAGAGTTTTATGAAATATAACACACTCACTTATTTGTTATGATTTGACCGTTTTCATCATATAATGGGATAGTGACCCAACCAAGACTTAGTTCAATTGGTTGGTTAGAATTCTACGTGATAAAATAAAGGACAAATTATGGAAAACAAATTGAGTAAAAACACACAAACTAAAGTAGGACTACATATTTCTGATAAATATATATAAATATATGGATGTTTGTGATATGTTTCACTCCCCCCAGTATTCAAAGTATTCCTCCATGACTGGCCTGAGTCATTGCCTGATTTAATGATAGAAAGTGAAGTAGTTGAGTGTATCGAATCTCATCGGTCCTGATAGGCTATCATTTGACGAAATCTCGGCACGGATTCAGAAAGCTCTTTTTACTTTTACCAACTTGCATCGCTTATGGCAAGTTATCCGTCTACCAACCAATGGACAGTTTTGTTGAACAGCAGTTCATTTGATTCTACCTTATTTACATGAAACATTGGCATTAGGAATAGAGGATATTCGTAAGGTACTAGTGCCTTATCACAGAAGTCTTGAAAGCATAACTCGTATATTTGGGGACTATCGAATAAATAATGCCTGAGTTAGCAGTATGGCACTTGGTAAAGATGAGAAATCGATTGGCAAGGTAGTAAATCCTCATCAACTAAAGTGTTTGGGACATGTGTTATGTATGCTCAACCATCGCTTATCTCGACGAGCGATATTGTATAGTATAGTAGTAAGTTGGAAGAAAGCTACTGACAGCCAAATCTTCATTTTATGCATGCTGTGACATATTTGATTAATATCATTTATAAAAATTACATGTCTTCTTAATATTCACCGACCGAAGACAATATATGATGAATGAAATTTCGCATTCTCACTTATATATACACACAATCTTTTATCTTAACACTGTTCATTTCACACCACATGTCTCTTATACACTAATGCAAATGCCTACTTTAAACATTGTTAACGTTAATTGGATGACCTATTCAGTATACAGTGAAACGGAGAACCATGTACTTATATATATTCAATAGTTTTGATGTTTGATTATATTTCCTTGAAAAAAACCTTGAAGAAGATTTCTAGGTGAAACGTTGGATTTAATTCAAATTCATTCGTTGAGATTTGATGAATACATTCTTCCTCTGTAATATCTTCACCAACATAGTTATAATTCTTATCTATTAGGCGAAACTGTAATTTATGAACGAACCAATCAGATTTACGATAACGGGTCTTAGATTCTGGTGCTAAATTCATTCATCCATTTGGTTAAATAGAGTTTTGACATTATAGCTGATGTCAATTCGTGATGAAAAACCGTAAATCTAATTCCTAATGTTAACTATCAACTGTAAATCATAATCTTTATTCTTTAAACTACTTTATAACCTTCATTTCGACCTAATAAGTCCTTAGACACACTAAATTTCACTTTAACGTCGTTCAATGATCATTCATCAGTGATAATCTCACCATTTATTCTTTTAATCCATAATTTTCAAGTATTATTTAATGATTTTCAATGGTTACGATCATGAGTCAGTTGAAGCTAGACCACCATGGAAAACCTGGAAGCACTGGATGGCCTTTTTGTTCTATTGTGGGACTCCTCAGCAGTGCGCATCCACGAATAAAAATAAATAAATTTTATATTTAAATAAACATGGTTCAAATGATAATTTATTTTACCTGTTTACTAATAATAATTTGAATTTCTATCAATATACAAATATTCATATTTTGATCATTATAACGTATAAATAAATCTGAAGATAATTCATAAAATTTTTCAGATTTTTTTATATTCTATAATTAATAAGAAAACAAAACAAAAAACTTTTTTCTTAAGTGCTACGTCTGAAGCGATTACGAACAAAACTTGTGACCAAAAACCAATAAACTAGCTATTCTATTGCATCCCATCTCCGTTAACTAGAGAGAGAAATCGGAGTCTGAACAGGGAAGTATATTTTGCAAAAAAGCCAGAAACACTCACGATAACAACAGACATAAATTAAAACGTACATATACAGCACAAAGCCATCCCTAGGAAGCGTTACAAAATAGCATACTAAGAGATACAACAGACCAATAGCGTTTTAGATTCTCTCAAGTGGGAAATACGTCACGAAGCTGAAAAGAACCCTTTTGGTGCGAAAACAAAAAAATTCAAATTTTCTAAATAAAATTACAAAATTTGGTCTTTTTCCAAGTGAGTTCTGGGGATCTAACGTCCACAACATCAAGGTGAGTATTTTACTTTTTAAATCGCCAAATAAAAAGGTTTAATATTAATTTAAATAATCAAGAACAACAGCAAGAAACTAATAGGATGTAAACTTGAAAATTTTATTATTTGGGATGATAATTGTTATATCTTGACCGCTGATTAGAGAGCAGTGACTTATCGATCGAGCGGTCTAGAGTTCTGATTGACCCCGCTTCCCTGTCTAGCCCAACCAGTTGAGCCCAGAACGCAAGTCTCAGCCTCTGAGATATGAATCATTATATTTCAAGCATACTGAGTTTATATGGCAATCAAACCGACCAAAACGTACCAATAAAATATGAACAACATTTGTACAAGAATTAGCCAGATGTGGCTGTGAATGAGGGAGGTAGCGATTAACAGACAGGGAATAATTCATGAATTGTAAATCGTATAATAATAGTTCATAGGTCAAAATAAAGCTCATAATAAGAGGGACATGAAAATGTATAGTTTAGTTACATAACAATTATACGATAAAAAATATACCCATAATATTGGTCCATAAATGGATTCCAAAAATTACCATTCGTTGTTCTTATCGGGATACAACAATAATAGTTTTAGGATTGATATATTGTTTCTACTTTTTTTTAATGTTTGATAGTTTATATATATTTTAATGCCTTCAATACAAAATAACTATTAGATCTCTATACCCTTTATAGTGTAATATCAGTTACTATTGTTAAGCTAATATTACCTTATTCTAGCTTCTGGATAGATCAGTTTATCTATTCTTCTTGAAATATGTTTTGACCTTGTGAATTATTCATTCATCAATCTTGACTGTTTTTATATGAGCGCATATATGTGTGCACTTCATATTTTTGTTCGGCTATAAATATCGATTAGTGTTTGATTAGATGGAGTTGGCTTACTTGCCTTCTCCACTGTGTATTATTTCGCTTCGTCCCTCTAACTATCTGCCCAGATCAATGAGTATACAAAATACATGTATGCAAAAACCAATTCTTGTATTCAACTTATTTAATACTGTTATTCGTCAAGCGATTTAAGTCGATGATTACATAAGTGTATTTCGATGACAATCAGCATACAATCTAATTGGAGTCAGATATTAGGCCACTAAAGTGGTGAGCCCGTTTACAATATCGTCCGATCTAATTGACGTCAAGACGAAGGGTTCCACAATAGTTATTCTACAAATGTACCAAAAATTATCTTTGAAGTATTCAGCCCTTCATTAACCATTGAAATTAATAATAATAATGTCTGTTTGTCATAGTTTACAGTCATTTGTGAGAATCCAGGCTATTGAAACTTAGTAATAATACGCTGTCCTATAAATAACTTCTATCAACATGATCACGTACAATAAAAAGGTGACAGATCTACATTATTACATTCTATTTCTCATAAGATCATCAATAATTATTCTGTAGTCCAATATGAGACTCAAGTCAAGAATTAACCATCTAATAAAGTATTTAATCAGTATACATAACACGTTGTGAATTTGTTTGTTGATCAACACATACGTATTTCGTTGAAATCATAGACCGGTCAACTCTACATAACCAATAAAACCTTATTAATGTCAAACGACAGTTTCGTCAAAGTATAGGAACCCTCAACAGTGAGCATTCACCATCCCTCAAACGGTATTAGTACCCAAGATCTCTGGTCTCTCTCATGAACACAACTGTGCTAATGTCTAAATTCAATCGATTTACAATATTGTATGGCTATCTTTCATTGTTTACGGTGGGAAACTGCCTTATCCCAGACAAGATTCAGTTCCACTGGTCATGGCTTCTTAACAGAACTCTGGAAATTTTCCGATGAAGCCAGTCACTAGTTGGCACATGATAATTATCCTATGGAAGTCTAACTTAGATCGGTTCATAAATTAAGTAAAATTCAATAATCTTCACAACCTCCTACTAAAATTTTACGTATTCATTTTGATGAATTCCAACAGACAGTACAGTACATCAATGTTTTTGTGTGGAACACTTGGTTGAAATTATGTACATCAGGTTTGTTATAAGAAAAAAATACTCTAGAGCCTAATGCTAGTAGATTAGAGGACAATATTTTGAGTGTTAATTTTTGGAACCGATGCTGTGAAATCATATTTTTGTAGTGATTTGAAAAAGTGATAACTCATTTTGATGTTTGATATCACTTTCAACCTATGAATAAGTGGTTTGTATAAATCAAGAGTATCTCTCTAGAAATTAATGAGATTTAAACAAGTATAGAGGTTTTACATTATGTTTAAATGTTTTTTTCATATTTTATAATCAGTATTCAGATTTTAATAGTTAAAAAGAATGTTTATTATGTAGACTCATTAACTTAATTGGAATAAATCTTCTTTCAGAATAATTTATAAGACTGAAGCAAATGTATAGAAAGTATGTTCAATTTATATAAATTGTACTCTATCACAGTAACTATTATTCATTAAGTCAATAAAATTATTCATTAGTTCAAACAATAAGGTAAGAACCCAATAATTTATGTGTATTATATACAGGTTACATCATAAAAAGTAAATGTTTACTTTTTTTTTCTCTTTAACACTATGAGATGTCCTATGCTTTTTATGTATAATAGAAAGTTATCTTACTAGTTGTAAGTATGGAGTGAGTACTGTGGTTAAAGATTCATATTCTACTAAATTTCAGATCAAATAAATGATAATTAAACAAAAAAAACTTGTGGATCTTTTCTCTGATTCTAGCTGGTTTATTATTAAAGTTATTGTTAAGTTTGTTTACGTTCTCTGTCTTTATTCGACTTCCAATCAACTCTTTTGTGAATTATTTTATACTACTTATCAATATTCAGTAAATAGTTGTGTTCCTAGAAATTTCCACATGTATGTTGTAACGCAAGTTTATCGTGTAATATTCTAGAATATTTACATGTACTTATAACATTTATAGTATTTATTTCTTTGAATCCTGTAGCAGTTACTCTCATTTTTTGTGTCATGTTTTAATCCATTTTTAAACGTAATGGTTTCCATATCGTTTGTTCATGGTCCGTTTTTGCTTCTTGATAAACTGTTGTCAAGTTTAGATACAACTTCAGCTGTGATTTACACTATCGTATGTTGAAATTATTCTTGATGTTACTATTGCAAGAATTATTTTTTATTTTAGACCTACAGGAACAATAAACGGCACAGATATTTTACAAGTTGAGGTTCGTAACTAATTTATGTATATTATTCAATAAAGAACCGCTTTTTTTAAGACAAATTGCCGTTTTTGTGAACTTTGATTTCGCGAGTACCATAATTGTGTTATTTAGATACTTGGATAGAATCAACGGTTATTTTTCTACTAAATAGGTTTCTTTTGCTTCAAAATTTTTGAAACTAAATGTGTATGAATGAGACTGTGACGAAATACCATGTCAGTAAAATTCACTGTGTTTTATCATCATTTTTATTTATCAGATATTAAAATAAAACGGGAATAACATGAATTTATAATACTATGTTAATAAGTATCTTACATGTGGAGTAACTATCCATGTTTTCTTTTCACGATCTGTCGGTGTTATAGGTAGATAACAAATATTACTGATAGGCTAGAAAAAAAGTGGTTTTGAAATAAAAGACAAATAAATAGTGTCAGTCATGTAAACAAGAACAACATTTACATCACTAAATTTAGTCAGTTATAAATAACGGATGAAAAGAAATGTATCAGTTAAAGTTGCCATATTTCAGAAAAGCACAGTCAAAATTAATAGTGTGAATATTAACAAGATAAAATTTAGAAAATTGTAGAAATACTGAAATAGATTGTAGTTATAAACTAAGCATCTGATCGTGGATATATAATGGTGAAGAATCGCATTCTAGGACGAAACGACCGTCCTGTACTTCCAGGTTTTTAATGATGTTATAGCATAGATCGACTCACGAATTCATTTGTTTAAAATTACTACAACCTCTACAAAATTCTCATTTTGATATGATAAATAGTTCGTAAAAAGGAAAAACAAGATTGTGAAATGAAAAGAGTAACTTAATAATTGTAAAGTTAAAAGCAATAATGTCTATACTTCACTCTGGTGGATTGTATGTTTTGTTGACTAAAGTTTTTAGAATTTCAATTACAATCACTTTGAGAGATTCGACTGGAAATTTTCAAAAAAATTGATGTAATTCACATTAACATTCGAGGGCTTAATGGGTTGTTAGGTGGTTGAGGGAGGTTGTGACAGAAAACCTGTTAACGTACGTTTTATACTAGTTGGTTCCCCTCAGCAAATTATAGCTGTATGCCCAACCACCGACTACCCCGATGTGTGATGTTTTATGGTGTAGGAGTAGAATGGAAGAAAGCTAAGGGCAGCCAGACCATAGCATGGCATAAATCTATGAAGTCACTGACAAGTTGACTGAAACATTTTGGTAGATGTAGACTAACTGGTTGTGATCCACGAGACGATAGTAACCGATGTTTAAAGACCTTGGATGATATGCCTCAGAATCGCTCGCAATGGCGCAGGTGCATCCACTCTTTCTGTCCTCCTAAATCCTAATTTTCTGAAATCTTCATGTGTCTTACTTTCTCTTTTTTCAAATTTATTTCACTGGATTATACTCCTTGAATAACATCCTCAAACCCTAATCTTTCCGAGTACTGCTTATACTTTTACTATTCCTACCACCATGTGATTTGAATGGACAATCGTATCTATGTGACAATGTGGTATGAGAACTTGAACTGATGTACGTACTTGCAAAGTTCTACGTTGTTGATGACTGACTGACTGATTGAAATTACCTGTGGGAATGAAACTCTCATCCCGCAACTTCAATAGTCTTAAACATGGCGCTGGTGGAGTGATGTCATATGTTAGTTTGATTGTGCCTAGGTTCTTTTACAATATACACCTAGGTCAGTCATACAAATAGATTATGGCAGGTTCTCTATTATAACGCCTACGTGGTTTATTATATCTTTAGGATAAACAAAGTTACACGTTCTTTTTGAGTCATTTACTTGCCTTTTTCAACTATTCGTCTGTACCCTTAAATGTTTAGATGTTTACTTATCACTTACCGTATTCATTACCCGTCTCCAGTTAACTATTATCTCTCTCACTATTAATAGTTAACCACGCTTACTAAAATTGAACAGATAACGTTGCTGTTATCATATTTCTCCAAGAACAAATGTCTGAATTAAATACATTTCGTATCTGGCTTTTAATACTACCATTATATAGTAGGGTTGGCTTAAACATGATATCCAAGATTAAAGAGAGAATTTAGGTTTCACACTGTTCATTCAGCATCCCTTGTCGATGATAATTTGAGTCTGTGACTATGAGGCTGGGTGACACGAAATCAAATTCGTCATGGAGCATCAGTTTGTCAAGATTACAGGTACACCTTGCTGATGAATGCCAAATAGCATGAAACCTAGATCTAGGATTTCTAGTCGACTACCTTCAATCATCATCTCATCTCAATATGGTGCATGCGATATCAAGTCACCTAGACTAGTGGCTACATTGCAACTTGGTCGATAAAATTCCATTGTACTCCAAGGAATCTGACACACTTAACATTCATTAATCATTGATCAATCCAACACTTATTTCCTATTACTAGAATTAAACAATTTCAGTTCAAAGTCAGTTAATAATGAGAACATTATTAATATTTGAATAAACATTTCAGTATCATAAATTATATAATTCATAAAACAAAAATTCACTTACCATTATACCATCAAATAAACATAAACGTACTAAACAATTCAATATAGATAAATCTACAAATTTTGTAAGTATAAATTTAACAATGAATTGTATTAATACTTGACTCTTCCAAAATGGATAATTGTGTAATTTTTTGAATTGTTATAATCTTTTGCCAACGTGGTTGACGTCGTGTTATCTGGATGTTAAAAATAGTATTCATGATTGTTCATTAAATGAAATTGTTAATTATTGAATGAATGAAAGAAAGAAAAAAAGAACCATATCAGAACAAAATGAAGATTCTTTTATTGTTACAGATTATTAATGCTGTCTGGTTGTACATTCAAGTTTTTTGTAATCATCACAGAATTCGATCAACCTTAAAGACTGGAAAAATGTAACACTAATTACCAGTCAATTGATATTAAACCAGCATGGAAAACCTGGAAGCACGGGATGGCTGTTTCGTCCCACTGTAGGACTCTTCAGCAGTGTGAATCCACGACCCCGCCTCGCGTGTCTCCATCCCATCACCTACCAGTCTCGTGCGTAAGTACATAACCAGTAGACCACTGAGCCAGCACCCAACAATGGTGAATGTGTCGCTCAATTTTGTGGATTAGTTGAAGTTAGACATTAACACTGTTGGATACCAGCTCAGTATTCTAGTGGTTAAGCGCTTGCGCGAGAGACTGATAGGTCTTGGGTTGGAATCACGGGAGGCGGGGTCGTGGATGCGCACTTCTGAGGAGTCCCACTGTAGGACGAAACGGCTGTCCAGTGCTCTCAGGTTTTCCATGGTCGTCTAGCTTCAATTGACCCATGAATTCAACTTTTAAGATTACATTATAGCCAATTTTAAATACGATTCTTAAATCTAGGCACTTTATTTATAATAAATTATTTAAACAACCATTTACTAAGTGACCATTCCGTGATCACTACATACGGAGTTAATTAAGCAAACTCTATAACAATTCACTTTTCAATGAATAAAAATGTTAAATCTTGATCAACTCAATTCAAGATCCATCAATATATTCTCAAGTTAGTGAAGAAATCTAATCTGAAATAGAATCACTGTTCATTCTTTATAAACAAACTTTTCAATAAATAAAAGTTATAAAGTTAACACTTCAATTTTCAAGTGAATTTGTGGTGTGTGCTACTTATATTGATATAAGTAGTATATGATGTTAGTCGTGAACAGAAGGTCTGGCAGCAGAGAGACAAGAGGATCGAACAGTAAAGTATGGAAACAAAATGCAATTTGTATGAAAATGCAAGGATAATGAAGTCTGAGTCATTTTGAGACAATCCATGGATATTTTGCAAATTAAGCATTTACTTTATAATTGTTAGATTTTATTAACAAGTCCTGTAATTTTGTGTTAAATACGTTAGATTCTAGTAAGGGTACATAACTTCACCTCAATAATGTAAAGTTATTTGTTGAGCCTGTACAATGGAAGTACTCGACTTTTCAAAATATTAATAAAGGAGTGAAACTTTAACAAGTACTAAAGTGCTCTCAAGTTTTCAATGGTAGTCTGGATAAAATCAATTCGTGATCTAAATTGTGAAAGTTCTACAGTCTTCACAAATCCCGATATTATTAAAAATCACACGCTCACTAATGATAAGCTTCAATATGAAGTTTCCGGAGTTTTGTTAAAAAGCCAAAACCAGTAGAACTAAACCGTGTCTGGGGTAACCCGGTTTCCTACCAATGACAATGGAAGATAGCCGTGAAATATCATAGATTGATTGGACTTAAACTTTAAGCGTTCGCAAGCGAGACCGAAGTTCATGGGTGCGAATTTGTGAATGCACACTGCTGAAGATTTCCATACTAACGCTAAACAACCTTTCATTACTTCTAGGTTCTCAAAGGTACTCTAGTTAAGATCAGTTCATGATTTAAATTTAAAAAATTAAAGTGTTTCAATAAAGAATTACTTTTTAAACATACCTTTTACTATCAGTGTCTAAAAGTATATCTGTAAAAATTAAGTGAGAGTTTCCAAGTTTTGGTGATAAAAATTTTGATAGTTATATGATGCTAATCCTAAACAAAATGGAAGAATATATATATTAGATTTATTTAAATAGATATTCATAACTGTTCATATACTACCTTTGAAATCTGTTACTATAAAAAGTGGAATATATGATATAACCCTATAGATGTTTATTAAGTTTTTGATTGAGATGATAAACCGATTGATGTTAGATCACCACTGAAAACCCGGAAGCACTAGATGGCCGTTTCGTTTTATTGTGGGACTCTTCAGCAGTGAGCATTCACGATCCCGCTAGCAGGATTAGAACCCTGGGTTTTCGGTCTCCCACGCACTGAGCCGGTATCCAACGGTGTTATTGTCTAACCCCAACCAATCCACGAAATTACGCTACCGTTCATCATTGTCTCAGTGGTCTGATGTTTAAGCGTGAAACTGATAGATGCTGGGTTCGAATATCGCGAAGCAGGATCGTGGATGAGCTCTGTCGAGGACTTCCACACTAGGACGAAACGGCCGTCCAGTGCTTCCAGGTTTCCCATGGTAGTCTGGCTTCAACTGACTCGTAATTTCAACTATTGAGATTATTATATACTTGAAATAACATCAATATTTACGTTGATAAATCAATGAAACTATGATAAAAAGTTTATTTTATAAAAATGATTTACCTTAAACTCTACTAACTTACCTGGTAATGAAAGAAAGCTTAAACGAACACTGCTTGGTAGAGGTTGATAAGCTTCGAGAGCTTTTTCATTATTCTGATCAAAACAAAAAAAAACAAATGAAAAACATTCTTTTTCAAATCTGTTCAGCAAAAAAGTACTAAATGTAATTCTCACATTCTGAATGTTCATTCACTTCTATTATATCAGAACAATATAATCAATTGGATGAAAACCTCTCACAAAAAACAACTAATTAATTGGAGTTACATTTGAAATCGACTTTTACCTGTCAATAAGCATTTATAACCCAAAGCTTAGTATATTCCTAATGAATAACTTAAATCGGCAACTGAAAGACACGGTTCACTGTTTCACCGTACGACGCCCGATGTGAGGCTCGGATCTACGACCCAGAGTAAGAGTCTCATGCTCTACCGACTGGGTTGGCCTTCACGTTCTCAAGCTTGTGATTTGTTGCATGGTAAGAATAAATTATAGCGTTTGTGAAAGAGTTTTATTATTCAGTCACTTGATACATATACTTAATTGTTCTAAGCGTTCAAATTTGTCTCATCCAATTTATTTCAAAATGAAAAGAGAGAATGAATGTAATTCTGAATTACGGTTAGATTTAAATAAGTAATCTGATAAATTACACGTTCAACTCTACATTTCAGTCAGTCAACTTGATACGAATTTACACTGATCGAAAGTGTCTTACATCAAGTAAACGGATAAATTTAAGGAAGAAACTAACTAGATGATATCCAATCATGCTATAGTACTAGGAATAATAATATTAGTGTGAAAAACGATTGATAACTAAGACTATGACTGAAATAGATGAATAAGAATGATCTACATTTCTTGATTCACTGGTTTATAATGTTAGTTAAATTTCAATCAGATTATGACTGTTAAGTTTTTATTCTCAAGTACATTTCAACTCACAAACAAACTCAAATCAAGTCTCATTGACTTATTACCAAGTTACTCGAAGGAATTTATAATATCTCTGGTTGAATAGTCGCTTGGTTATAAAAAAGAATATAATCATTAGTAGTCAAATGATTTTAGACAAACATTTCATGAAAGAACTAAGTTGATGAAAATTCTACTTTGCTAATTCAGTCAACCATATACAACATGGGACATAGTATAGAAGCGCATCGGCTTAAATTACCACATTATACATCAAAGCAGCAAGATGGAATTATCTAGTTGAATACCAAATCAACAGAAGTACTAGTAGTAATAGTGATGGTAAAAAAAGTTAGTGTTGGTGAATATAATTCTCAAAGATACCATGTATCCGAGGTATAAAATAACCATGAAACTCATGATCGTAAGTAAGATAAAGTATAAATACATCTGTGTTACTGAAACATATTCTGAGTCGTGTCATTCAACATTTGCACCTTCAAGTTATTATAATCCAAGGACCTCAAACAGGTAGATTTTATCAAACAACATGGTTCAAAGCAACAGTCAATGAATAATCAGAATAATACTACGTTTTTGTTTAATTATCTTCAGCTTTTTTCTAGCTTCGTTAATGGATGACTATAAGACAATAAAGTCTTGTAAAAGAGTTTAACTGATACCAGTAAATCAATCCATAACAATGTTTATGAATCCATAAACGAAGAACTACATCTGACTATTTCATAGACTTTTCTATATAGCAATACAGAAAAAAAAGGAGAAATATTGAAGTTCTTTAAAATATTACTTACTTTTATATACCATCCTGCAAAATCTTGATCGTCTTTGAACGACCTACAAAATCAAATTACGGTTAAATTTTCTTGTCGGAATTTACCGTTTATCTGTATCTACAAAAGGGGTCGACGTTAGACTTTTACTAGAATGCATCAATTTACTACTCTGCGTTATACCAACTTTTCCCTCTTCAATAATCTCAACATTATTTTCTTCAACGTTATTGTCTTCATCTTCACTTTCTTCTTCCTCAATATCAAAGTTTTCACTCGTTTCATCGCCTTCACCTTCTTTCTCATCATTTTCCCATGTTTGTTCACTATACTCCACACTATCTTCAGTATAATCAGGGATCTGATTCACAACAGTATTTGTTTTCTTAATTTCATTAGATTTAACTTCAGTGTTTTCCTTATTTACTGTAGTTTTATTAATAAAAAAAATGAAATCGACTTAAATCACCTTCTTGTAAACTAACCGCATTCGCCTGTTTTTTCTCTTCCTCCAACAACTCGTCAGCATCTTCATCATCATCACCATCTTCACTGTATGTTTGTGGACTATCTTCTGCTTGAACATTGTCATTATTCACAATATTTTTTTGTTTTATATAATCCTTTTATTAAAGAAAATATTTAGTCAATAAACGTTTTATATACCAGTTTTAAATTTTCCCATTCCGATTCAACCATTACTATTTTCTATAAACAAACCGGAATAAACAAATCGTAGTACAATCATACCTTCAAAAAATTCATTGGAACTAAACCTTGTTTACCTTGAATATTTTCACCAAGCCACCAACCATCATCACTATAAATAAAGAAAAAAAGTAGCTATGAACTTTGAAAATGATTATGAATATTTGGGTACTGATTTTAATAAATTAATTAATATCAAAAGTTTTTGTGGATATTGTAGTAATTTCAGTGGTTAAGATCATGAGTCGATTGAAGCTAGACCACCATGAAAACTCTAGAAGTACTGGACGGCCGTTTCGTCCTATTGTAGGGCTCCTCAACAGTACAGATCCACGATCCTGCCTCGCGAGATTCCAACCCAGGACCTATCAGTCTCGCGCGCAAGCGCGTGACCACTAGAACACTGAGTTGGTATCCAACGGTGTCAATGTCTAACTTCAACTAATCCACAAAATTGAGCGACACATTCACCATTGTCTTCTGTGAGCTGATTTTTCACAACAGACCTGGTTAAACTGCACTGGTAACTGTTTCTCACTAGAACTTTAGGAAATACTTGCTGAAGCCAGTCATGAGTGAGCATATGTTGATTAGTTTCAGAAGAGGTTTTGTTGATATTATAGTCATTTTAATGGCTGAGATCATGAGATATAGATTAAAATTATGTCATCCTTATACAAAACTTATTCACTTGATAATTTTAAATTCCACTGAGAAAATATCATAATTCAAAAGATTACTGGATAATGGTTATGGTCTTGTAATATTAAATAAAATCTATAACTCAGTGGTCTACATATTATGTATTAATGACTGGAAGTCTTGAGATCAATTCTTGCTTGGGGGGTCGTCGATGCGCTTTGTTGCAGAGTCTTATACTAAGAAGAAATGACCTTCTAGTACTTCCAGGTTTTCAATGGTAGTCTAACATTGATCAGTTCATGATCTTATTAAAAACTCTATTCAATCTTTCCATTGATAGATATGAGTCATAGTGAAATTAATTTCTACTAAACAATAGAAAAACATGCTTAGATTAATTCTTATTATTAATTGTTTTGTTCAATATTTTGTTTAGTATAATATTGTTATTTTAACATGAAATATTTCAAAAAGTTCCGCTCATTCTTCGATTCCATCGCCATATATAAATGGATAGATAGATGGGTAGATAGATACATGCTTTAAAAGCGGAAAGTATTTGATTAGATTAGTCTTTACAACTATTTTATAGCATAGTATATGTGCTTGATTTATGCGCTCGAGTCTTGTTTCGCCAAATGATATAAAAAAAGAAAGATATGAATAAATTTAATGGTTCTTTTTAATTGATAGAAAAACGACGATTGCTATCCCTTTTTTGTCTATGAATCACGTTATCGAATGTAAACTGCACATTGCAAGTGCAACTTAGTAGTAATTCCTTCAAACAAACTTCCGGTACTATGGTTTTAATTTCATTATTATTTACGTATTTTCAGATAAAATTGATGGTCTCTGTAAGTACAACATTAGTGATTCGACATCTAGAGATATGATAATTTCGTCATTTACATACATTTCTTTTATGTGTTCAATGAATTCAAAAGTATCCTGTACAGAGTGTCTACAAATGCGTTTTCTTACGGGATCTAGGAGATCTGCCAGCCACTTTGCTATAGATTGGTAAGTGGATACGGAAATATCAAGAATTGATTGGAAAATATTGATGTCGAACTACTATTCACTAATGTTCCACTCACATAGACCATCAGTTTTATCTGCATATACATAAAGAAAAACATTTATCATCTATTTTCCAAATTCCAAATGTCTATAAATAATCACATAAATAAGAGCATCAGAAAACTTACTACTTACTCTAATAAAAGCTTTCAATATTCTATACAAAACAATATGATCTTTTTACGAAAGTCCGAAAAAAAATTATGAGGAACAAAATAGAACGGGAACGAAAATCAGTCAGCAACAACGTAGAACTTCGTACGTACGTACATCAGTTCAAGTTGTCATACCACATTGTCACATAGATACAATTGTCCATTCAAATCACATGGTGATAGGAATAGTAAAAGTATAAGCAGTACTCGGAAAGATTAGGGTTTGAAGATGTTATTCAAGGAGTATAATCCAGTGAAATAAATTTGGAAAAAGAAAAACAAAGACACATGACTTCAGAAGATACAATAAACACATCATCATTACAAGTAAGCCTTACTCTTTTTCTAAAATTTTCAAAGTTTCACCAGATATAAATGATAAATCATCTTCATCATCACCAATCCATTGACGTATTGTTTGATAAAACTAATCAATAAAATTGATAAACTGTATATAGAAATGAACAGATATCTACCAAATCAATATTTTCACATTTTGTTGATTCTACCGGTTTTGAAATGATATCTACTGGTGAATTTTTTAAAATCTAAAAAAAAACACGAAAAAAATTTGTAGAAATGAATAGAATTGCCTTGGTTACAAAATATTATTTCATTAATACCTTATTATGAACTTGTAAAACATTTTGTGAAGAGATTGGTTTTATTATTTCATTTTTCTCTTCTTTTCTTTCTTTTTTCATATTTCTTTTCTCTGTTTGAAGTGGTTGAAATTGATTGATGTTATCTTCTATTTCTGTTGCTTCATTTTCTAGTTCTATTTCTTTTATGTCGTCTGTTTCTATTTCAGGTAGTTCAGTAAGTTTTGGATTATCTTGTAATTTTAAGGTTGTTTTTATATTTGAAGGTAAGTTATCGTCATCATCGCCGTCATCGTTACCATCATCATCAACATCATGATCATCACCATCATCATTTAATTTATTAGTTTTATCTAAAGTGTAATAATTGTTTTGTTTAAAATTTTATAACTAAATAAATAATTTAATTACAGTTCATAATGATTTCAATGGTTTTATTTATTTATTTGAACACGTAAACACTAGTACAAAGAGGCACCGAATATATATATGCCACACAAGTCACTTGATTTGTGTGTGAGCTGTGATACTGCCCGCGTGCCGAGACCGAAACAGGTGGTTTTCTTAGGCAGCCACACTCGGAGCCTTCAATCTAAAGGCCTGATCCGCAAGGCAATGGAGCAACGTCGGGTTATGCAGTCCCATGGTAGTCAGTGACCAATAATTGAATCATACTCCATTTGTTCCTTCAGGATCCTGGAGGCCATGTGTATCATTGGTTTGAAATCAGGTTTTTTCAACTCTCCTAGATGGATCCTCCATAATCACCAACCCAGTTAAAGCTCCGGAGGTTCGCTTTTCGTCCTCTCGACTTCGTAAACAACGCCGCCGCGAGAAGGCGGTGAGTAGGACTTCTTTGGCAGTGGCTGTATACGCTTGGCCATGTGAGAGGATTTCAAGAGGGAGAGCTGATTCTCCCTACCCTCGGATATACCAGGGCATTTGGGGTGATTTATCAGCTACTTAGGAAATCTTAATTAGTTGTAAAAGAATTGACAGTAAAAAAATAATGAAATAACAATGAAATGATAGCTTTGATTAGAATTATTAATCCTCCTAAGTTGAAATATCATTGGTAGTAAAGAAAAAGGTCAATTTTACATTCATACATATATTCTAGGAGTCAAGCTAGTGTTGGTAGTCAAGGTTATATTATTCGGTAGTTTTTGTCAACACATAAAAAGTTTAAAGTTAGGTATTTGAAGTCAAATTGAAGTTTTGTGTTAGAATGATAAATTAAGGTCAGGGGGTTTTCAATACGAACTAGCATAAGCTGCAACACAATGCTTTTCCATCTTTCTTTTTAGAAACTTAAAAACCTTAGGGTTGAAATTTACAGTAACAAATGGAGAAGACTATTTAGCTTCATTAAACAGTCCTGATTACACAATGAATTACAATAAGTACTTCAACACATAATCTGCATTAGGAGCTAGTATGCATTGTAATTTAGCTTAGGGGCGACATTTTGCTTGCATAACAGATATTTTTATTGATTTTAAGCATTTTAAGAACCAAATATTGCAAATTTTCACTTCGTTAATAATAACATACATGTTGCCTATCACTGCACTTAGAATTTTGTATAAAATACATGAGGCATCATCCTAATTCTGATTGTTTAACATAAGACCGTCAGTATAATATACTTTTACCACTCCAAATATAACTTCAGTTGAACAAAGAAATAAATATAATAGTGAATAGAATGATAATAATGAACTTATGGCAAGATTAGTATGAAAACGAGCTTCAAACAACATTAACGAACTTATGGCAAGTTCTTAACTAATCAGAGGAAAGCTTGTGAACAATGGACAGTTTATGAAAAGGAAAGCAATAATAATACGAGGTGTAAACAGATTTAAGTCTTCCATAAGTTAGTCTGCCTGTAAGTTGAAAAAAGAATGATATGTAAGTTTGAAAATGCGAGTATAGATTGCCCGGTCTTTTTGAATGTTTATAAAGATCCAAGTAAATTTAATAGTTGAATTTATGAGTCATTTAAAGTTAGACTACCATGAAAAACCTGGAAGCACTGGGTTCGAATTCTGAGAGCGGATCGCACTGTTGAGGAGTCCCATACTAGGACGAGACGGTTTTCCAGTGATTCCAGATCTACCATAAGGCTCTTCAGCTGCGCATATTCAAGGAGCCGATACCTAGGACCGAACAAAATACCTTCTGATTCACGCACAAACACTTAATTTCTTGATGACCTGAGAACGTATCCATTGGTATACAACTCTAACCCCAGTTAATCTGCGATATTGCGTGACCGTCCTCTACTGCCTTCGGTGAGTACCCTCCTTGCAACCAAAACAGTTGTACTCACCTGGTTACGATTCTTTACTAAAATTCCGGAACTTTCCCCCACCCCTTGAAGCTAGTCATTATTTAGCACATATATATAAATCATAAATGTAATAGTTCAATTACTTCCACATAAAGGATAAAATTATGTTAAACCTTTACAATGGAGCTAACGTGAACGAAGAAATATAATTAGTGCAAATGAATTATTATAATCATTAATACTAGAATTACTTTTACTCTTATCTTTCAACTTTTTTCCTGATTTCTTTTTTTTCTTTGTAGATATTTCATTTTCATCTTCAGATGTTTTCAATTTTTTACCTTAATATTAAGTATTAATTTCTATCACTTATGTCATATACACTTACTGGATGTCTTTAATCGTTTTGAAGATTTTACCTTTTTCAATATTTTATCTGGATCCAAGTTATGCTTATCATCATTATCATCATTATTGTGTATTTCATCATGATTATCAGTAGCATGTATTTGTGCAATAACTGTAGTAGGAGGAGCAGTAGTTTTATCTTTAGATTCTTTCACATTTCTCTCTTTGGAGATTTTAAGTTTGATTGACTTTGAATCATTCTTTGTTTTTCTATGTTTATTCTTTTTATTAACTTGTTCCTCTTTTTCTCCTTCCTCCTCCTCTTCTTCTTCGTCTTGTACATTCAATTTTGTACTTATTTTATTAATGGTAGTTGACATTTTGGACTCTGAAGATGAAACAAAGAAAGCATTTCCTTATGATAATCAAATTGAAGGAATAACACATAGTCACGTATGCAAACCACAACGTGTAGAATGTAGTCAACTGGATGAAAGCTATTCGGTTAAGTCAGCCAAACAAGGGTACATACATAGCACCATTGGAATTTATATACTAGATAATCGTGTTTTAAATCACCGATTATATGTTATTATCTGGCTCGCATTGCATACCAAATTTATCCTATCAACTTGTGGTAAAGCTAACTAGACTGAATATCTCTTGATTGTGATGAATACGTCGTTCTAGTATCCGGTTGTTGAAAATGACTGGAAGAGATCTCTAAGCCTCTTGCTTTCATGAAAAATGATACTTGTTGACAACGTGTATTGATGATATTTCAGGTGCTAATTCTCTGCATGGAACTCAAACCAATATCAGCCCGTATCATAGTGAAGAATAACATCACTGAACTACTTGAATTATGAATCACTTATTGAAATTCTACGCACCATTTGATAGGTCTATAGTATCAAATCCCACGTTTTTTCTAATCCTCATTGATGATCAAATTCGATCGGTCAAATTAAATGGCACTTTCATCAAGGCCGAAGAGAATCTAAAGAGTGCCAATTAGTATAAAACCTAAGATTAAAGCTTTCTATTGACTGCTTAAATGCACATTAAAAATTTCTCAGTGTCATTTACACAGCCTGTTGCACCGGCAAGGGATAGTTCTTACCAATGTACATAGAACAGTATTATAAAATCCCCATAAAGCATCCAGTCATTATAAATAATGTTATGTTTATTCATTACGCATGTAATTTCCACATGGTTAATCTCTTACTCAGACTGTTATGGTGTAGCCCAAAGATTTGTACAAGTTGGCAAAATAATTTCAACTTTCAGTTGTCCGTTAAACTTACTAACCATCGTCTGTACTTTAATTTTTTGTACAACTTTTTCCACTGATAAATTTAAACAAAGCAAGAATAGAAAATGTAGCAGAATAAGGTAAACTTATTTGTTTCGTGAATTCTCATTAGCTGCTTACAACCTAGAAACAATAGTGGTAGTTATTTACAACAAATGTACATACTTAATATCATATCAATAAAGATTGGTTGAATAACAACAACAACAATCAAGGAAGAATTATAAAGCAGCAAGGTGGATGGATGGACAAACAGAAAAACCTCTTCATCGAAACAACACTTCGTATGAGATTTATTCATAGCCAAATAGTTTCTGTTAAACGAGGTGCAAAAAGGCTTTGACTCAATTAATTCGCTTTATGAATTTGAATATAGCAAAAAACAACAAATTAGATAGAATAATATGGATTTATTATATTTCGTTGTCTCTCATCAGCTACCTTCAACCATGGCCGCTCACCAGCATTCTCCATCCAACCCTTTTCTGGTCAATCCTTTATAGTTCTTTCCAGTTGCTATTTATTCTTTTCGTACTGCTTCCCATTTCGGGAACAGTCTGTTCTTTCGTCTTGCACTTTTTCGTTTCCCTTCAGCATTTCAAGTTAGCACTTGTCTAGTGGTACAGTCTGGTGATTCTCTCAATGTGTGTCCTATCCACTTCCAACGTCTTTTTCTAATTCCCTCGTCAGCTGGAAGCTGACTTGTCCTGTCACACAGCAGGCCGTTGCTGATGGTATTCGATCAACGAACGTTGAGTATCTTACAAAGACAATTTTTTATAAATACTTGCACCTTCTTGATTATGGTTGTAGTAGTTCTCCAAGTTTCAGCTCCGTACAGTAGAACTGTCTTGATGTTCGTATTGAAGATTCTGACTTTCATATTGGTTGACAGTTGTTTCTAGTTCCATATGTTCTTCAACTGTAGAAATGTTGTCCTCCGTTTGCCAATCCTCGCCTTTACGTCTGCATCTGATCCTCCTAGTTTATCGATGGTGCTTCCCAGGTATGTAAAAGATTCTACATCTTCCAGAGCTTCTCCATCAAGTGTGATTGGGTTGGTGTTCTCCATGTTGTATTTGAGGATCTTGCTTTTTCCTTTTGCGTATGCTGGGGCTTACTCATGCAGAGGCTGCTGTTACACTGTTTGTCTTGACCTGCATTCGTTGATGTGTATGGCATAGAAGGACCAAGTCACCTGCGAAGTACAAATTTTCAGATTGATTCCGAGCAGTCCATTTTAGTCTGTGCTTCCCTTCAGATGTGGTCTTTATAATCCAGCGAACCTCCAGAAGAAAGAGAAAGGTGGAGAGTAGGCAGTCTTGTCTGTCTCCAGTCCTTACTTGTAATGCGTCTGTCAGCTGTCCTCCAAATGGTTATGTATATATAAGGATAGGTGAGAGGTCATTTGGAGATGGAGACCACGAAATATAATGAATTCATATCATTCTGCTCCAATTGTTGTTTTGGCTTTATTCAAATAGGCACTGTTTAAAACATTATGTACTGAATCAATGTTCAGAAAAGATTGAAGAATTAAATATAATGTAAGTGTCTGCGAGATAGCGATTACCCACAAAAGTTTACCAATAAGTATGAAGAGAATAAGAAATAAGGGTATCAAAACTACTACAGTTAAAAAAAGACAGTTATTACGAGAATTAGCTTCGGAGGTGATGAAATAGCTAACATAATTAATTCTAGGCTAAATGGTGCACTGTAGAGTATATATTGAGCTTCCAAACTATTTTCGTCAAATCAGACAAATTGCTCATTAAGACAGACAAAAGTGTACAGATTCCCATATCACATTACCGCCAATCGTATTTATTAAGTTACGTGTTCAAGCCAAAGTATTTACATTCGAAGAAAATGAAGGTGGGTTTTTATTCCCATCTTGGGTAGTATTTTACAAACATTGAGATTTAAAGGCCAACGTACTTTCAACAGTGTCATTGCTTGTTATCTAGTTAGTAGTGGACATAATTTCGATATTTTAAGTTTATTATAAACAAACCATTCTGAAACTTTGAATAGATTATATTACACCAAGGTCATAGGAATTAAAATACTGAAACGAAATCCATGCATTAAAAAGGAGACAACTGTAAATTTCTCACTATTCAGATAGCTTCTATGTTTCATCATTCAACTAATATAATATCCTACTTCATATTTAAAATAATAAAATCCTTCATTATTTCTAGATTCTTTTCAGCTTTACTCTGTTATCCTGTCAGATTTTACTATTGTTATTACGTAACTTCAACATTGATACCTATTCTGTCAAAATATCATCATTATAAGTTTTAAAGATCTTTTTTTCTTTTAGAATTTCTACATTCACTAACATAGAAATATTCATCTACTTTACTATTTGATAAATTCTTCCATTATTATTGTTGTTATTCCACCAGTCTTCATTAATATGATATGAAGTATGTATATATGTTGTAAATAACTATTGCTATTCACTTGGTAATGTTTGGCTTGTATCTTCCCATTGAGGTTTAAGACTGCAATTGATCAGTCTGTTATTGGCATATGTGCATACTGTGCGTATGCCTCGATATTGCCTTAATTCACAAGCTTCTTGTAAGTAATGATGGACTCAGTAGTTGAGTGGATAATGCGATGGCGTTTGAAGTGAATGGTACTGGGTTCGAGTCCCGGAGGGGACATCAACTCGGATGCAGGTACATCCAGCTGACAAGTCCCAGATAGGACAAAACGCGTGTCCTGGATTCCACTGCTAGTCACCATCCATCATTGCTTACAACTATTACTATTGTTTCTAAGTTGTAAGCAACTGACGAGAATTCACGAAACAAATAAGTTTACATTATCCTGCTACATTTGTTACTCATACTTTATTGAAATAGATTTAACTAATTAGAATAATAAATTGTTATCGAAGGGCAAAATCTAAAACGGTCATATATATGATAGTTGTTACAGGAGATCATGAGTAAAGTTAAACGTCAATGCTTCTAGACACCTTAAAAAAATCTACATCAAGTTAGATTATAAAAAAAATCATATTTTACTAGTCGGAACGTTCATAAACACTAACTATTCATAGAATAAACATGATTTCATTGAATAGATTTTGTTTATATATGGTGTTTTGTTATTTATAGTGATATTGTTTTATAAAATTGATTTCAATAGAGATCAATCTTACTGACTGCCTTCACAAGACTCAAACTAATAAGGAAAAATACAATTTACACATATGCATGACGAACCAAATGATAAATTATAGATTCACATGGAATATACGCCATTTATGTTTAATTGTAAAGAATCAAAAAGGACAAAATATGTGTTATTAATATAACTAATATCACCAAATCACCAAATTAAATTTAGGTCATATAATATTAGTCCCTGTGTATTTTATAAACTGAATAAGTATAAATTATTTAAGGTACTGAATATGGTGTATGTTTATTTACTAGCAATCCAATCTTCCCTAGAGAGAATACTATATTAGGGTGGGAATGTTCGTGTATAATGTTCAATTAGAGGATAACTTACATTCCATTATCAAATTCAGCTGTTTAACTATTGAAAATAAAAAACAAACATTAAGCATCTAAGTGTGTCTATTTTGGGACTCATTAATAATGTGCTGCATCCACATTCCGACGAAGGGTCGAATTCAAAACCTTGGAATCTTACGGTGATAATGGTACCTCTAAAGCACTAAGTCATAAATCAGTACTTTTCATCTCTGATTTTATCCAAGTTTCGATATTGTGTGATCATCATATCATATCATCTGTAGTATATATGTATCACTTATAATACAACTGAACTTCACTGGTGACTTCTTCAAACTAGAACCTCACAAAATCTGTTCAGATGTTGTTACTAGTGAGCAGTTTTAAACTGGTATGAATTTCTCTCAAAGTAAGAAATTTTATGTACCTCAATTCCAATACAAAATGTTCTTTAGATCTATTTATTTAAAATTTCGGGGTTTGATTTTGTTGATTAATAGCTTTAATGTACTTCAAGTTCAAAATTAAAAATTTTAAAGAATTCAAACGTTTCAACAAATACTACTAATGGACTAAACAATTATAATATAACAATTTGTCTTATATAGTAACTATATATCATTACCTGGATCCTGAGATTTCGTTTCCTGATTTGAAATATTTTCATTTCCTGACAATAAACTAACATTACTATAAATTAATCAATAATAACAATAATTCATTATGAATAATTATTTACATTGTCCCTAATTTTTTGTCTAATTTGTTCAATTTATCCTACAAATGATATGGTTATTGTATATGTATAGTAATTTTATGAATAATTATATATTACTGTTAAAGTAGATATTCTTGCCAAAAGTTGATTCTTCATTGATTCCAATTTCGGTAGTTGATTTTCTGGATTTTTGTCCTATTATATATATATATATATATATATATATATATATATATATATATATATATATATATATATATATATAGTTTATTTTCATTGTTACCTGTTTAATTTGTTTTATTGTATCAGCATATTTATTTAATTCCTCCAAGAACTGTACTGCTCTTTTTTAAAAAAGAAACGGTGATTGATCATTGGTAATTAAAATATAAAGTATACTTTGTATTGAAATTCTCTTGTTGTTCACTTGTCGGTTTTTTATGACTATTAACAAAGTTAATAAACCGTTTGATCTTTATAAAGATGAGTGATTTATGATTATAAGAAGATATAAATACTTGTGATGAATTTTGATCTAATTTTTCAGTTATTAAATCAATTTGTTTCTTAGCTTCTGTCATGTCTAGAAATTATTTAAAAAATTCTATTAAAACAGTTCATTTAAATATAATGAATAGATTTACCAAATGTCTATGTTATAAACGAAACATTTCGTTACTTGAATTCACTTGATGTTTTTTTACTTGAATCTTCCCTTTGTTATTTAGGACTGCAACTGATCAGTCTCATGTTGGCATACATGCATTCTGTGAGGATTGCCTTGGTGTTGCCTTAAGTCACAAGATTTTTTAAGCGAAGATGGATAGTAGCTAGCAGTGGAATCCAGGACGTGCGTTCCGCCCCAGTTGGGACTCGCCAGCTGGATGTGCTTGCATCCCAGTGTTGATGTTCACCCCAGAATTCAAATCCAGTACCGTTCGCTTCAAACGCCATCGCGTTATCCACTTAGCTACCGAGCCCTGATAGCCACCTGCTTGTGCAATGGGGTGAAAATTTATTATGGTAATTACTTAAGAAATGTTATTATTCATTCAGTCACTTAGTGGTTAAAGTCAAAGTACGGTTCGAAATAACTGTATATTAGTTCTAGTTTCCTTACGTTATATCGACACAAAAACAAATCTAACAAAAGTTAGATAGTAGGAGACAAAATATTTATATTCACATTATTGTTTCTTAAATCACATGCAATGTAATTCAAGATAAATAAATGAAACAAAGCTTAAGGTTTAGAGAATGTCTCTGACTTTGAACCAGATCACCAAACATATCTAACTATAGACTACTATGATTTCTCTGATCATCATTTACTTCAATGTACTAATAACAGATGAAATAAGCATTTATTCGGCAATGAAATTCAAACCCCATTCAGTCTTCTAGCTTTACTCAAGGTTAGCCGTTGAGACATGCTTTGAGAGACAGATAATTGGAGCTTGATGACTACAGGAAAACAGATAAGTCATATGGGTGCCCTGATAAAGAAAAGACAGTTCATACAGCTATTCAACATCTTTTTGCGTTTAGTCACATACTTTGAATGTTATAAAGCTTACATGGGCAAAACACACAACCTATATTACTAAATAATTTTATTAAATATGGACTGCCAGTTTATACTATCCTATCATATTTGCCTGACACTAAGATTATAGCAATAGCTTCCTCAATCTATCTTTCTTCTTAATAACATATGAAAATATGCGGAATGTATAACTAATGAATTAAAATTCCTTACGCTTAGGCGAAGGATAAAGAGCTTTTCGTGCTCTATCGCAGCAATTCATATGACTGCACAATAAATTTGATGGATTAGACTTAGCTTTTCACAAAATACCTGGTTACTTTATAATAACACCATAATCGTCATACTAATTACAAAGTGATAGTTCCGATGCTTCGCACAATTCTGTAGTAAAGCCTTAAATTTGTGGCAGTGGATTGTTGCTTTTTAGTTGAAGTCCAGTATTCTCACTTCTTTTCAGCATCAAACTAAGAAATTTGCTATCACTAAGGATGTGCAAAAGAAATGACTTCGTGTAGTAGCTAATGCATGAATTCTGAACTATAATTATTGCACGCATTTTGAATACGTCAGTGACGCTGAATTACTGAACGAGGTCAGTGTAACTGACGGCTCGTCCACTGTAAAATGCAAAGCGTTACATTACACTGGTAAGTACCAACAACAGTCGTTAAATTAACGGTAGACGGTTTTGATGCTGCTAAGGACTTCGTGTCTTCATTCAGCGGTATCACTGGTGCAAATACATCAGGAAGCATGGATGAAAATACAGTGCCGTTCAGTATTGTGAAGCGTAGAAGACAAGCACATTAGGTCTATGCATAACTAGTGGGGAAACACTGAAATAAAAAATACAACTACTTTTACCAATTTGCATGATTTGTATGTGCCTGAAATGCAGGCTGGATGCAGCAACGTCAAGTATTCTAAGTTTCAGTTAACGGAAACGCCTTTTTCTCCATTAGTTAAGTAAGCGTTTTTTTATTATATATATATATATATATAATTTCAACTAGTATAAAGTACAAAAACCGACCTCTGCATCAACACTCACATAGAGTCAAAAACCAGAGCAAGTCATGTTAGCGGTCACCTAAACTTTGATGGCTTGTCAAAAATATGTGTTACATTGAAAAAGCTTGTTGCAACTATGTCCAACCTGTATGCTGACCCTAAACAGCTGATGACGGTCTTTAACAACATTACATTTCAACCAACGCTAAACAGTGCCTTCAACCTGTCAGAGTCTCGTTAGGAAGAGTTAGATATCCTGGAGGCATGTCTTCTACAAGGGGATATCAGGGATAGATCTATAAGATCTGTTTATTAGATGATTGATTGACATTTCCATGGCAAAAGTGGGCAACTTAATTGATCGCAACTCAAAAAAATCCTAAAGATATGTTTTGGCATACATTTTTAGCCCATGGTTATCCATTACCTTTTGTGGAAACAGTGAATAAAAGAGGTTTCAAAAAACTTTGATTCTATAAAGGCATGGGAAGTAATAATGCACTGCTTCATTCAGTCCATCTCAGATGCTCTAACACCAAAATTTACAGACGCGCCGTAAAATGAAAAAGACTTGAGGAAACTTCTAGACAGCATAATACAAAGCTTCATACTTGATATGAGGGACAAACCGAATAGGGGTTATAAAAGAAGAAAGAACGGAGTGATAATGTCGACTTACAACTTTTACTTTATTGTGTTTATACCCAACGCGGTATTTAATGCAATATGACTTTAAACGTGGTCTCATTTTATAATCTATGACAACTAAGAAATCGGGATTAAAATTTTCCATAACTGTTTGTTTATTATCACTGTCGATGACATTTTGATGTTCATGTAATTTCACTTAAATAATAATGACCGAAATAAATTTGATGCTGTGAACAAATAACCATTCTCACTAATGTCCGTTTTCTGGCGAGACTCTAATATAGGGACGAGCCAATCAGAAGCGTTCGAGCAATTCCAAGGTCACGGAGCTAAGTTCAACACGCGATGCTAACATACGATCGGTTCACAGCGGATTTTAGAGAGTAGGTGATTAATGATAGGTTACAATAAATATGACGGCGAGACTTTAATTTAGGGACGATCCAATAAGAAGCGTCTGAGCAATTTCAATTATTAGTCAATAAGAAGACAGCATAAAGTAAAAATATATTAAAAGAAAGTAATGAATTACAGTGGATATTCTTCTTTTACATGATTTGAAAACTCGTATGTTAGCATCCTAACCCTAACCCTCACCTAACCCTAACCCTAACCTTAAACCTAAACCCTCAACTAACCCAAACCCTAACCTTAACCCTAACCCTCACCTAACCCTAACCCTAAACCCTAAACCTTAACGGAAAATGACAATGACCTAATAACCCGATTTGAGGGGAACTTCTATTCATTTTGAGTCAATTTTAGGTAAGCCGCAATTAAAAACGCTGAAAAAATGGCACAAAACTTCAAAGGGTTCCCAGAACTGAGGAAAATCACCAAAGTGTTATGAGATTCTGGAGAAATATTGGAGAAAAACAAAAATATTTTGCGGGGAACTTCTAAGGTTTTGTGCCACTTCCAAAAACTCTCGCAAACACGGACGAAAGTTTTCCCAAAAGTGGGAGATATCTCCTATATTGTCCAACTGGACAATATTATTATTGGACAATTCCTAATTGGAAATAGGAGGACAATTTTCTAAGCGTTTGTTAATCCTGAAAATTTATTTGAACTGAAAAAAGTGTTAAACAAGCCTACAAACATATGAAAAGTGTTAGGAACTATTAACATTTAGTGATTACCACGTTACTGATTGGGTCAATTAAAAATGTCGATGTTAACATGTTTTCCTTACTCTAGGTAACAACAAACCTTTATTGTAGTAAAACAAATACCTATTATTCCAAGATATGAGTGATTAATCTGAAAGGTTATACAATCCTTACAATTTTTACATTTCAAATATACTTCTTTGTAGACCGTAGTAGGCTACTGTACTATTTAATATCAAATATCTTTGTAACGAATTTGCATAGATCGATTGATTACTGTCCGCTCGCATTGTGTTGTTTCAGTACAGTTTTCAGATATTTAGTAATGTCCAACAAGTGACATTTTAGTCTCTCGACTACACTAATTCTGTTCAGTTTGGTGGTCAATTGTGAGTTTTCATATTCATACATCAAACACAGCTGGTCGAAGAGGAAGATGGTAATCCATGAGTGAGTTCGTCAAATTTCCTCTCAGCACTATCCACTGAGGGCATTGTGGCCACTTCGTCTAGAGGAGCATTCTGAATGTGGGCAACTCTTAATGCAAAGAGTGAGAGGGAGTCTGGGTTTTAATTCTGTTTTGCAATTTTTCGGAGTTTTTCTCGAGGAGCATGGTGGTGGTGTTCAAGTGATTTGATGTACTTAATATTCTGTATGCCACTTTCAGATCACCACTTTTTCACATACAGTGTCTAAAATCAACTTTGATTTCCATAAGGGACGCCTTTATGAGGTTTCTTTCATTATTTTTATTCGGACAATAAACATCTAGTGACGATCAAGCTAAGACCACTAAGACTTCTGAACAAACAGAATAAGAAAAGTTTAATGTACATACTTCATCGTTATGTTAACAGTTCCAGGAGCTTCGAGCAGCTAGTTCCAAGTATTTTAACGTCTAACAAACATACGAAAGCACCATGGCGAAGAACTGATATGGGGTTAAAACGGTAATAACCCTTGTATTCTAGGACGATGATGTTTTTAGGAAACATATTGACGAATAAATGGTCTTTGTAGTCAGTCTAGCGGAATTAAAGAAATGAACAAACAGCGGATGTGGGCTGGGGGAATTAAGAGCACAATCCGACTCTTCACGAGCGACCTTTTGAGTCAAGTAGAATATCATGTCGGTCAAAAAGAGAATATGTCAGAGATGTAGTAATGGTTGCCTAAAAGCATGCGAGAAAGTGAAGTGTGCAAGAACCTTGCAGCCCGACAAAGCCAGAGGGAAACTATAGTGAATCAAAGTGACAAA